CGATGCTTGAGCTGGAGGTCAGCCCGGACTAAAAAAAAATAATTAATCATTTTCTTCATTAAAAATAATAAATCAAAAAACCAGTTCTCTTAGCATTTAATCCAGTAGAGGTATAAGGGTTTTTTTTTAGTTTAATTTAGTCCCAAGGGGGGGAGGTAACAAGATTTATAAAACACTGAATTTCTAATAAAAACAATTACCATTTCATTCTCTTAGTTTTGAGAATTCCTAAATGGTGTCTAAACTTTAAGTGGTTTATTTTTTTATACTTTAAAGGAATTGAGTCTTTGTCACAAACTCAAATTTTCTAATCCCTATATTTTTTCATTCTGGTGGTCCTTTGATGTTTCAAACTTTGATAATTTGATGTACCAGAATTTAGAGTTTGAAATACGTAAGATCTACGACATTTGGATGCAAATATATATGGATTAGAAAATAAGAATTTGTGGCTAAGACTCAACTCCTTTACAATATTTCTCTTATTTTCGCATTAATTTACCGTGGTTGAGTTCGAAGACAATCCAAGCTTTGATAGTGCAGCTTCTAAATTTTGTCCAGATACCCCTGTAATCAATCAATCAATCAATCAATCAATCAATCAATCAATTAATCAATCAACCAACTTATAGAATATTTCTACCCTAACATGTAGTATTAACACAAGCTTATAGAATAAAACTATGAAAACAATCTTAGATTTTTGTTGAATAACTTAGAAGTCATAAATCATTAAATGCAGAAGACAATGAATTTTCTCCTTCCATTATCATCATAACCGAATCCTGGTGTAATGAAAATATAAGTAATGCTCTGCTAAAGTTATCTGGTTACTATTTAGTACCAGAACTAAGGTTAGACAGGTGTGACAACCACCGAGGTATAGGAGGTGGTATTTTGGTCTATGTAAAGGACAATTTACATATTTTAGCAAACGACAATAAATCAGATTTTAACCAATATTGTAATTTTACCGTTGTGAATAACTTAAAGCAAAAGGTGACTATCTATGTTATTTACCGATCACCTAACTCTACAAACACTAATAATGATACTCTATGTGAACTATTGAGTGATGCTTCAAATAATAAATGTATTTTCATGGGTGACTTTAACCACCCTAAGATTAACTGGGAGACTGGAACTAGTGAAAATAGGAAATGCTCAGAGAGAACAATTGCCTTATTTCCAACAATTATTCTCAGGTAGTGGATTTTCCTACACAGATTAGGGGTAACATATTGGACTTAGTAATGAGCCGGATTTGATTCTTTATACAAAACCTGTAGGAAGACTTGGTAAAAGTGATCATGAAATTATTGAAATTGGACTAAACATTAACCAGAACAAGGATGATACTGAGAGATTCTTTTGTGACTGGAAAAATGCTGATGTATCTGAAATAAACAAGTACATAGAAAGACAAGATTGGAAAAACAATTTATCGCAGTTGTCAACTGAAGAGGCATGGTTAAAACTAAAAATTGAGTTACTTGAAGCTTTTCACAATTTTGTTCCAAGGAAGATAAGCAAGAAAGGCAACAGACCTGACTGGATGGATACGAATACCCTGAGAATGATCAGAAAAAAGAGAAGATTATGGAGTAGATATAAAAGCACAAGATCTCCAGAGGACCTGACTGAATACAATAAAATGGAAAAACTAACTAAGAAAACCATCAGAAAAGCTAAACGCAGATATGAGGTTAAACTGTCTAAGAAAACAGACTTTCGGAATGCTCAGTTTAGAAACTATATTAAAGGTAAAACTGTTTCTACAAATCCTATTGGACCACTGCTTGACATATCTGGTAAAGTTATTACAGATAACAAGGTAATGGCTGATCAGCTGAACACTTATTTCTCAAGTGTTTTTACGAGGGAAGATCAGTCAAATGTACCAGTACTCCAAGCTAAAGTAAGTGTACCAGACCTAGATAACATCATTTTCTCTGTCACTGACATTGAAGACAAGATATCTGAACTAAAAGATAATTCAGCTCCTGGACCAGACCAAATATCAGGAAAACTGCTTAAATCTTTGAAAACCACTATCTCCAAACCTCTCCAGTTAATTTTCAATAAATCTCTGTCGGAAAAAACAGCTCCAAGTGAATGGAAGGATGCTATTGTAATTCCTATCTTCAAGAAAGGGACAAAAGGGAGTCCTAGTAACTACAGGCCAGTGTCCCTCACATCAATAGTCTGTAAAATCATGGAGAAATTATTAAAGGAGAAAATTGTCAAACATCTGTCTACTTACAATCTAATAAACCCCAGCCAGCATGGATTTACTAAACATGAGTCTTGTTCCACAAACTTATTGGAGTTCTTTGAATTTGTAACTTATCAGGTAGACAGAGGAAACCCTGTAGATGTGGTCTACTTGGACTTTGCAAAAGCCTTCGATAAAGTGCCCAAATTAAGGTTGCTAGAGAAGATAAAATCAATGTCAATAACAGGAAACATTCTTGGTTGGATAGGAAACTGGCTTACAGATCGAAGACAGAGAGTAAAGGTTGGGAACAGTCTCTCGGAGTGGTTGCCAGTGGAGTCTGGAGTCCCACAAGGTAGCGTATTTGGCCCAGAAGCTTTTAGAATCTACATAAATGACCTGGATGATGCAGTCAAGACCTTGGATTGTATTAATAAGTTTGCTGATGATTCTAAAGGGGCCAAGATAATTAAGTCAGCTCAGGATCAAATTCTAACCTCTATGACTGGTCAGTCAAGTGGGGGATGAAATTCAATGTGAGTAAATGCAAAATTATTCACATGGGAAAAAATAATCCACGCTATGAATACCACATTGGAGGGGAAAAACTCCAATCAGATACAAAGGAAAAGGACATTGGTGTGCTAATTAATGATAACTTAAAACCGAGTATGCAGTGTCAGAAAGCAGCAAACACAGCTATGGCTGTTCTGAACCAGATCCTGAGGGCTTTCACCTACAGAGATAGAACTACATATATAAATCTGTACAAGACATATGTAAGACTCATCTTGAGTTCTCCTCTCCAGTCTGGAATCCATGGTTAACTTCAGATGTTGAAAGGTTAGAAAATGTCCAGAAAAAAGCTCTAAAACAGGTTTATGGATTACAAGAAACCGATTATCTAACAAGGGTAAAAGAACTTGGTCTGACTACACTGGAGGAGAGAAGAACATACACCGATCTTGTACAAACATACAAAATCATACATTGAATAGATGATGTGGACAGAAAGATTTGGTTTGAGCTGTATGGTGACACTGAAAGGAGAGTAACCAGAACAAGTGAACAGTCCCTTTGTATAGTAGCTTCCAGACCCAATTTGGATATAAGAAGACACTTCTTCTCTAATAGAATAGTTCAGCAGTGGAATGCACTACCTGATAGCATCAAAAATGCAAGAAATGTCAAACAGTTCAAAAAAATGTATTTGAGCCAAGTGCCCCTACCCAGATGAAGTAATCTGTCAAACCTCTGCTCTCGGAAATGGTATGGGTCACCAGTAAAGCTGACACTTCTTCCTTGGATCAAAATGGTCCCTTAAAAGTTCCTCTTCAAGTAAACAAGTAAGTATTCAAACTTAAATATCCATTTCTATGGAGAACAGCCGGAATAATTTAGGGTGTCCTGGAAAAAAAGTTAATGCTGTATGTTTTCATATTCTACAATGTATCCTAATCCTTCCTATGTAAAAAAAATCAAATTCAGACCAGTATTTCAATTTTATGTATTTGAAAAAATTACATTTAAATTGGAGTTATTGGTTCTTTAAGTTAGTTGAGTATACTAAATATTGGCGTTACGATTCTACAAGGGAGTTAATTATACTAAATATTGGAGTTATTGGTTCCACAAAGGGGTTGATTTAACTAAATATTGGAGTTATTTTGTATTTATTATATATTGGATTTTTTTGTATTTACGTGCTCAATGAACGGGATAAAATAACGAGCATATTGAAAATCAATTTTCGGTATTCTGGAACACCCTACTGAATATTATTACCCCCCTAAACTCTATTCTGGAACACCCTACTGAATATTATTACCCCCCTGAACTCTTTTCTGGAACACCCTACTGAATATTATTACCCCCCTGAACTCTATTCTGGGACATCTTACTGAATAATATTACCCCCCTGAACTCTATTCTGAGACACCCTACTAAATATAATTACCCCCTGAACTCTATTCTGGGACACCCTACTGAATATTATTACCCCCTGAACTATATTCTGGAACACCCTACTGAATATTATTACCCCCCTGAACTCTATTTCTGGAACACCTTACTGTATATTATTACCCCCCTGAACTTTATTCTGGAACACCTTACTGAATATTATTACCTCCCTGAACTCTATTCTGGAACACTCTACTGAATATTATTACCCCCCTGAACTCTATTCTGGGACACCTTACAGAATAATATTACCCCCCTGAACTCTATTCTGTGACACTCTGCTGAATAGTATTACCACCTGAACGCTATTCTGGAACACCCTACTGATTATTATTACCCCCCTGAACTCTATTCTGGGACACTCTGCTGAAAAGTATTACCCCCTGAACGCTATTCTGGAACACACTGCTGATTATTATTACCTCCTAAACTCTATCATAAAATATAGAAGACCTGTATCGGTGCTGTGTCTAGTAACTGTGTCTAGAGCATCATAAAATATATCCTGGACAGATGCTGAAGATGAACTAGAGGTCTGGTGCTCGAACCCTATACCAGAATTGGAACTAGAGGTCTGATGCTCAAATCCTAGACCAGAATTGGAACTAGAGGTCTGGTGCTCGAATCCTATTTCAGAATTCCTCATGACAGCACAGCTACTAGATCTTCGAGATAAGTCCTCTCCTCCACCAGAGAATCTTAAATTCAAATAAAATAAGTACCAAGAAATGTATGTACCCTCAGCTGGTAGATAGGTAGATAGGGTCTCATTTATACAAGAAAAAGACCTACTTAATATCTGTAATATGGTGTATTTCACAAATTGGTCACACATAGTAAGTAAGTTTACAAAATACATGTATTTTATATCAAAAAGTATGACCAAAAGTAACGCAACACCGGGATGCATCTCTACTACATGGGCGTTAGATATTGTGATCTAGCCAGAATGGATTCCAGGCTGCAGGCCGCATGTTGACGCGCCGCGCCCTGTGGGTGTTCTGGGGGACCGGGTTCCATATCAGGTTACCTTTCAGATCTTGGTATTATTATTATTGTTATTATTATTATTACTCGACTACATGAATAAACTACCTGAATGAAGAAACTAGGTTCGCCAGATCATCAACTTTCTCTCTTTCACTGAAAAAAATACATCATAATAATAATGACTAGCTGGAGTGCACAGCGTTGCCCGGGTTTATATTATATTATATTCATAGGCTTAGTTAATTACGCGATTTACCCGTGCATGGTAATGATCATTTTTACTAACTTTTTTGATGTTACACCCCTGGAATTTCAAGATGGTTCCAAAAAGAAACAGCCCATGTTGAGCAAAGAGCTTTATTATATGAATAATTGCGGTCAACCTTCAATCCTCCAAAATCAGACTTGAGCTTGCGTCGAGAAAAGTTCCGTTTATCCAAATAATTAATGAGCAGAATTGAAGGGTGAGAGTCAAGCCTAACTGGTCCTAACTGTACCATTAGTATTTTAAGATGTTCAAAATAAACACTAATCGATAAGCACCGTTTAAAGGAACTTCATAGGTTCTTTCTAGTGACCTTCTATTTAATGAGGGACATTCCCGATTAACAACGATACACTTTCAACCTTTGGCTGATCAAGGATGGCCGACGTATTTCCTTATTTACGCTTGTAATTGCTGAACACTTTGTTTTCATATTTTAATGAATATAATATCCACTTTTAGAAGAGACAGATTATAAATATTCACATTCAAATTTTTGAAAATCGCGTATTCTCGATTTTCCAAGAAATGTTGTGACGTCATCAACGTTAAGTTCAGACAGTACGCTAGGTATAAAGGGTACTGTTATAAATCGGAGATGTTCCTCTTTAAATGACAGGTCACTTGAAATAACGCATACAGTCCCTTTAAGAGAAAAGTGCTGTTAAACCGTAGCATAAAATAACATCAAAAATAAAACGACGATTAGGGAGGATAACAATTTTCTTTCAGAAGAAAAAATATTATTCTAACTTTGTGAAACTGTCTTTGGTATCCCCTTAATTACGTTATTAGAGTTTTTTATTAAAACCTTTTTATTCTACCCTATTTAATGCTGTCTTTTGAACCAACCTTGCTTTGTTATTCTACTGTCGCCCCCGGAGGACCTGCTATATCATTATTTACATATAAATACACCATCCTCTTTTTATATTTCAAGACATATCTCTGCACCCAATTATTTGTTTTAACAACACCATAATATTTTGATCATTATAATTTTCCAATATTCTTTACAAATTATTTTTATAAATTTCTTGTTTCTGAGAAATAATTTAGTTTAAATTGAATGTTATCATGAAATATCAGCATTATAAGCTTTACATTAAAAAATTCTCAAAACTATTTTTCGGAGAAATATCAAATTAAAGTTTGTTTTTAGAAAATAACTTCAAACAATTTTCATCTTCTAATGCAGAATTTAAGTTTAATGATTGTTGAAATATACCAGAGACATTAAGTAGAAGATGAGTTAAATGATAAATACCAATCTATAAATTCCAGAATTTAACTTCAATAATTCATTTTAATTAAATTTTACAATATTTTAAATATTCATATGATATCAAATGGAAATATTCAAATATTTCTATATTTCTAGTACTTCATTTTCTTTCTGTTTGAACATCTTTCAATCATACTACTGCTAATTTAGAAAATAAAAAAAATAAACATTTTTTTTTGATTTCCTTGCAGTTTGTCACTTTACAAGAAAGAACTATTTTCAAAGAATCTGGCTTTTTTCTGAACCCCGTATTTAATTGAACTGTATACAGGGATATACACCCATGGCTGAAGTTTCTCTAGTTTGCCATTTTCTCTCTCTCACTCTTTATCTCTAAGTATTTGATGAAGCACCGAGCCAGACCCAGTTGTTGCTTCTCTGAAAGCTAGATGTGCAAACTGATGATTTCTTTTTATTTACGCAAATCCGTAGTTCAATGTTAGATGGGGATGTTGTATAATGTGTTATGCATTATACTTAATACACAGTAAATATTAATCCATATTCCATTTATACTTGTTCCCCCTTTTTGCTTTGTTTGTTAACAGTACTGCACTGTTTACAATCCTATATATTCAATTCATAGTGTTCTTTAATGAAACTATCAAGATAAGGTATATATTGTAAATCTATATTTCTATTACTTTAGACTTTGGTAAAGAGTAGTTCATATCGGAGGGCCGAGTGCTGCTTGGTTTGGAAAGTTTCCAAATTGTTGCAAAAGCCTCTGTACCTTAGAGTGTTCACTCGTACACTCTATGGTACATGCTCACCTCCCCCCTCATCAAGAAAAAGGAGATCAAGAGCAATACAAGTAATACATGTTTTTATATCGTTAATAAATATTTACAGCGTAATATGTCTCTTAATCATTATCATAACCCCAAACCAAATGCACTGATAGTTTGGTAGGACTGACTAGTCTTTTTTGAATAACACCCTCTTGGTAGTTTATACTATAGGAAACCATTCATCTGGTACTTTTTCCTTTACTACAGAGTACAACAAGGAGCAGTGTTATCACCTTTATTATTTTGTGTTTATATAAACAAGCTAATATCTAAACTATGCAGATTTGATATTGGTTGTCAGCTCAGCGGTATATGGATATATGCAGATGACATTGTTTTACTTTCTCCCAGCCGCTCTGGGCTCCAAAATATGACAACAATATGTGAAACTTTTGCAAAAAATATAAGTTTAAAGTTCAGTACTAACCCAGTTAAAGAAAAACAGAAACTTAATGTATTTTAACAATGATATCATTTTACCTATTATTGGAGATGGACAACAACTTCTGTATGTCAGTGAAATTAAACATTTGGGAAACAGTTCATTTCTAAACTTCATTCTTTAGGATAAGAATTTTACTTAGCCGACCCACTAACCATAGTCAAACTTTACAATATTTATGCTTGTCATTTCTACGGATCCCAACTATGGGACTTTAACAGTAGCAATGTTTTAAAATTATATAATTCATGGGATGTTTCCATTCGAATTCTATTTGATTTCCCAGAAGTACTCATAGATACCTTATTGAGCCTATTTCTAGATGATTGCACATTAAAACTTTATTACCCAGCAGATTTGTTGCCTTTTCTGAAAGAATTAACAGTACAAATATTTCAAGCATTCATTTACTTTATAATTTGTTTAAAAATGATGAACGAACGAAAATTTAACGTTTTCAAAGTTACCAGATGATTAGAATTTGAAAATACCTCTCATTTATTAACTGCTAGATCAAACAATTTTTCTGTTGACGATTTAAATTATCATGAATTTAATGAGATAATTTGTTTTTTATGTACTGACTAACAAGTGATATTCAATATTTACTGTGTTCCTCTTTTAAATTACGTCTGTGTCTTAAATTATTGTACCATTTTATGTTTGCGAAATAAACTTTAATAATAATAATAATAATAAAATTTGGACTTTTTGGAGTTCTAAAGCCGGGACAAAAATAACTTTTTAGATAGAGTGATATTTAAAACTAAAAAAAAAAAAAATGAATTTCGGACAAAAATAGTTAATTTGCTTTCTTCTTGGTAAAATGAATTAGAATTATGAATTATCTATTTAATCAAAATGGATTACATGAACCGTGAATATAAAATATAATTAATCTGAGACGAAGAGAGTTTTCTTAATACCAAATGAGATGCTGGGATAAAATATTTACAAGGATAGATGATTTTTGCTTTAAAATTTACCCCTAGACGCTTATTTTTTCTCCGGTACAAAATAAATCAGCAATGACACTCTGAGCTTATTCCGAGACGTCAAGCTCTCATTATTTCCCACTCAATTTATTCTTTCTTGATTTATTAAATTCTCTTAAACAAGGATTATCATAAGAGAGGAGGTTACATGAAATCAATTACATTAAAAACACGCACACCACCACCACCAACAGAATAAAAAATGCAAATTTCCAGTTTCTATCAATTAAAGCCTGAAAGACCACAAAATCTTAAAATTGTAGCAGTTGATGTTTATAGATCTTACCAGCCAAGATGCTTAATTTTCTGGGTTAAAGATATTATGCTTAACAATAAGAACAGAGATCAGAACTTTTGAACGCTTGATCTCGACTATCCTTTGTGGGCACTTTTGAACTTAAGAATGATGCTTTAACCCTCATCAATTTAACCCCAATCATTTAAATTTATCTCTCCAGGGTTTGGCTACTTCGCGTTAGGGATATCGATGAAGTATTTAAATAATCCCTTGCATAAATGTGAAGATCAATGCTTAATCTTGAGATTCAGAAAATAATAGTTCTGACTTCAGACTCAAGAAAAGGGGGCTAGGGTTGAGAAAAGAGGGCTAGGGTTGAGAAGAGGGGGCTAGGGTTGAGAAGAGGGGGCTAGGGTTGTGGCCTGGGGTTGAGAAGAAGTGGCTAGGGTTTAGAAAAGGGGGCTAGGGTTGCAAAGAAGTGGCTAGGGTTGAGAGGAGGGGGCTAGGGTTGAGAGGAGGGGGCTCGGATTGAGAAGAAGGGGCTAGGGTTGAGAGGAGTGGCCTGGGGTTGCAAAGAAGTGGCTAGGGTTAAGAAGAGAGGACAATCAAAGAACATCTTTTCCTAAGCTAGCCCTTTTCCACTTCCTAAGCAAAAAAAACACCTCCACACCAATTTTTCTTTACAGTTTTTTTTTTTATTAAACTGCAATAAGAAGGCGATAATTGTGGACTGAATGTTGTCTATATTATCTCTTTTACCTGATTAACCACTTGTCCTGGTCAGCTAGGGTCCTGCCAGCAAACCAGGCCTGAAGCTCCAACCAGATCACCTCTTTAATCTACAAATATATGAATATTAGACAAATATATACCTAATATATAAATAATTAGATAAATATATAAATATTTAAATTTCGGTGATGGTAATGGACTAAACCTCTATAGAGTAAAAAAAATAGATGTTAGTTCCACATTTATTGAAAATATATTTCAGTCTGGGTTGACCCTCGTCACTCGTCAGTTCTAACGATATGATAACCATCAAAATTGATAAAAAAAAACTGTTAAAAACCACAAGAAAATAAACAAACAAAAATGATTATTAAAAAAATGGGCTGTCCAATGGACAAAAGGGAAACGAACTCATATCATGAGATAGAAAAAAATAATTTGCAAATATACGCTTTTTAAAGAATGTTTAAAGAAAAATATTATTCCTTGAGATTGTTTCTGTCATGAAGCTGTTAAGTTTATATGTATAGTGTATAAAAATTATTATTTTTATTCCTTGAGATTGTTTCAGTCAGGAAGATTAAAAACAAACTGTTTATATGTTTATAGATGGTGGGGGTCAATCTAGTTAACGAACTTTTACGTAAATCAGGGGGAGGGAGGGGGGGGGCGGCTTGTTTATGGAGGGGTATTTAAACCTTTAAAGAATTGGACGTAAACAATACTCTTTTTTTAAAAGAAATACTGAATTACAGTTTACAATTAAATAAAAAATATTATTTTCTGTTCATAAGCAATAAATGGATTTTTGATTAAACGTAAAAGAATAGCAACCTATTAAAGAATGCATAAAGAAATAAAAAAGGACATGTACAATTAAAAATTTAAATATTTTTTTTTAGAAATATTAAACAAATAAATGAAGAAAACAAATAACTAAATGAATCAAATTACTTCATTCTGCCAAAGTGTTTCTTCTTTAGAAGGTTGCCGGTCAAACCCTTCAGGATGCTCGTAACTAAACATTGCCAGATATTTTAGAATTTTATAAAAATACCGATGAGTTCAATTATGTTCTACCTACAGGGTGTCCCAATTTCTACATATTGAAATCTGTAAAAATTTGCAATATCTCCGACAATTTGAAAATCTCAAGACCAGGCGTTTTCTATATTAGATGTGTAAACTGGAATACTGCAATTATTGTGTTGATGAAAAAATGCTGCAGGGATCGAAGACGATATTAAAGTCGTCACTTAATTCCCATGTTTATTGGGACACCCTGTAGATTATCGAGTGGTTTGTCAAGTTGCCAGGCACGTTCCCTTTAATTTTATGTTTGAGTAACAATGGGAAAGATATCTTTACTTTTCTATCTAAAAAAGTGTTAAATTCTGTTAATTTTTACACTGGTCTCGCATCATAAATCCACACATAAATTCTAAAATTGCAGAGAAATTAACACAATTGAAAAATATCAATCTTAGCTGGAAAAACAATGATTTATCATTCATCCATGATAAAATAGGTTTAAAGGAAACATTTGTGAATCATTACCAACTCTAAAATAATAATTATTTTCTCATAAAAAACGTGTTTTTTCGTGTATTTCGTTTTTTTACGGAAAAAGCTAAATTCTTTACAAAGTGAAGTACGTAGTAAAAAACTAAAAGATCAAAGAGCAAAATGGTTTTGCAATTCACTCTTTAAAGAAATACAGGGGTATAATTTTTTATTCAAAATCATATTTTTCACAAAAAAATCCATTAAATAATAAGAAAAATAATTTTTAAAAAATATATGCCTCTGGAGAATAACTCTTAATAAAAGAAGTTTTCAGATCAAATAATTTGAAAGGAAAGATTTCTTTTATATAAATTTTAAAAATTTTAAAACTTTCTTTTAAAAAACATTACGGTGCATTCTTTTATGCTTAAAAGGGTAGACGCATATAATGTAATATTTAAGCCCAGTAACTTTTGAATGAGAATGAGATCAGTCAAATGGATTAAACTAATAAAACCTCGGATAACAATTACAAATCTAAACAACACAAAAAATTTCAAATCAAATCAAATTAAATTATATATTTAGCCATAAAACAAAATACATGTATAGATGGATATTTATAATTAACATTAACATTAGTAGAAATTCCAGTTTATGGCAGGGAGACGGAACTAGCCGAAACTGTGTTTAGCTTCACATTTTATTAAAAAAGAATTATACTAAACATAATGTTTCACGCCTCATGACGATCCTCAGTAGTCAAAATTACTTGAACAACAAATATATATATGTGTGTATGTATACTGGATATAATGGAATATTCTGCAGTCGAGAACAGACCTCACTGAAGATTGGTCCATGTAAATTGGTCCATGAAACATTTTGCATGAGGATGTTTATTAGTTTTTTAAATAATAAATTGCTTATATATATAAATAAAAAGTAGTAATCTTTGTGCATCACTTACAGTTCACACAGTGACATTCTTCCAGACTGTTATGAAAGGTGCTTAATTTTAAAGTCAAATGTCGACCTTATAGTCTGGCGAAGCCTTGGACTTTGAATCTGACCTTACTGACTCACCTAATCGATTTTAAACTGTAAATACCTGTAAAATGTTTGTCTATCTTGTCCGTCACAAACCGATCGTTTCCTGGGGGTCTGTGTCCCACTACTAGCGAGGGACTGTGAGTGCGCTATAACAGGGACAGGACGGGAGCTTAGGGACATAAACCTAGAGGTCGTCTTTACACGGTATCCTGAAATATAAATCTTAATTACCCGCGCAGTGTCAATTCTAGGCCTCATTTAGATTACACCGAAGAATGGAAAAGATATTTTTTTTTCAAAAAAGTCAAAAGAAGTATTAAATTAATTCATGTAAAATTTAATCATTAATAAATATGAAAAAATGATTTAGCAAAATTAATTATACTAATAATTGACCAAATCTAGTTTTCATCCAGTAAGCCGTTAACAAAAGCGCAAAGGAAACAGGCCACGCAAATATAGTATTACCTAGAGGAAGGCTGTCAGCATGCCTGAGTGCCGGGTAGAGACTGGACCCTGAAGGTCCAAGGGACATCGTACTAGATCTGGTTCGGCCTAAACACAGTGCCTTAGAAAATAAATTTTTTTCAACATGCAACCCAACTTTTTCCCGCATTTTTTAAAAATTTATTTCCCCCCTATAATTAATTTTAATTTTTTAAATTCTTAAGTTCAGTTAAATTATAAATGAGGGGTGGGGGGTCAACTCTGAGGTCAGAAGTTTTGAGTTGTGAATCTCAGGATCAAGAATTGATCTTCATCTTGTGCAGATCTATGGATTTATCAATTCTTAGATATCACGTGGTGATCCTACCCTGCAGGGATATCTGTCAAATTTAAAAGTTGTCACAGTGAATATCGAGATTTGAGTTTTGATCTCTTGAAAAGTGTCAACTCACCTAGTTCATCTTCTTCCTCCCTTTCTTCCTCTCTTCTACCACGAACACCACCATCTAGAGGAGGAAGATTAAAGGGATGCTGAACGAAATTGTAACTATTCTTCCATTTAAGATATTACATATTGAGGATTCACAATCACACCATTAACAATAAAACTTTCTTTGCGTGACAATTAGGAAGTTTTTTCTCTTTAAAGGTAAAAAAATGTTAGCTCTGCTGAAAAAAAGAATCTACAAGCCACTTGAATAAGTTTTAAAGGTATTTAGTAAATCACACATTTTTAAAACCACTTAAAATTACTTAATCAATTTGCACAAAATTAATTGTATTTTCGAATTAAAGGGGATGTACTTCTACTTTAAACTTTAAAACTTAACAGCTTAATCAAATTCAGAAAAATAAAATTCTGAGGAATCCTATATAAGATAATGCTTTGATTTAAAAAAATCAAAGTTTCTCAAGAATATCCATGAATCTATGGTTGACTGTATTAAGAAAATTTATCTTAAATAATTTTGTTTTAATTTTATTTTTATCAAGAAACATGCAAAAACAACAGTGAACAGATTTATATAACAACAAATAAAACGGAAAAGTGTCTCATGAAATTGATCATGACATGTCATTGTAATAAGATACAGGTTGGCGTTCATTCGTTAACCTAACTTGATTTCAAAAAGGTGTTTTGCCTATTTGTGACTTTGTTCATGTTTTAATTTATTAAATAGAACCATAACTCTCTAAGCATCTAATTATCATTATGCAATTAAAAAAAACTTAAAATCAAATGACATTATGAAAGCTTTTTGTTCGATCAAAATTTTTTTGTTTAGTCACCAAAATATTTTTTTTTACCATTTTCTTAAACCCACAAAAAATAAATAATTAAACATTCTTCCTTTTGAAAATGTAAGATACGCCTAAGATCACTAGTCAGAGCGCTCAAATAAACCTTATTTCAAAAATGTCTTAACGCCTGTAGGTTTAAAAGCTTGAAGATCTATCCTTGGTGATCAATAACATATACTGTGTTTTTGATTTCCTGCTTAATTTCTACTAAAATTCTTTTTTTAGTAAATAACTAAATTTAGTGCTGATTTAAAAAATTCTCTAACTTAATTCCACCTTCATTTAAACTAGGAATAGAATGAACAGTGACTCTCCGCCCTGTTCTAGTCATTCGCTTATATCTTGTGGACATCTTGATTTTCAAATTTACGTTGAATGGATTCTTTCCTGTGGATTTGTTAGAACTAAGCAAACTTACAGTTAAAACAAGCTTAATTTATCAACACCACAGAGATAAGAAAAACAAGACGCTCTTCTTTATAATTAAGAAAGTGGAAAAATAATTACTTAAAATTTTTCATTTTTTTTAAGGAAGATTAGGAAATTTTATAATTAAATCTTTATAGAGTTCATCAAATAAATTAAATAAACCCTAAAGATAATGTATTCAATGATATGGGCAGGAAAAAAACACATTGCTTTATAAAAAGCTTAATTTAAGGTATGCAACAATTTTTATTAGATCCCACTCGTCTGAAAACTTCTTATGCAGGTCCTTATTAAAACCCTGAAAGGTTTTGTTAATAGCTTTGATTAGCATGGTTACAAAGTTTGGTACTGCATATTTAAGCATGGCTACTCTAACATTATCAACTCCTGGAGCTCTATGCAGCTTCTTTTACTCTATAACGGCTTTAACCTCCATTTCAGGGGTTTGTTTACATACTTGGTCTTCATGTGATGTGCTTTCTACTTAATCTTTCATCCATTCTTGCCACCCTAGTAGCTGTTTTATATTCATCTCTTTCATTAGCTGTTCTCTGTGTGAGAATATTGCTGATTGCTATCCAGAAAAGATTTTTGCCAGATCTTCCAAAACTATCTATTCTATTCTTACTCTTTCTGTACCTAATTTCCCTTTTGCTACTAGCATTCCTTTCTTCTTTTGACTAATCTCCAGAACTGCTTGAAAGTCAAGGTTGGTCTTGAATGTAGTCTTCCTGAAAGGCAGCGTTGCCAGACCTTTTCCAAGATATGCATTCTGAGGGTTTTAGCTTCCAGTTTGAAGAACCTTAAAAGCTTTTCTTTGTTCTTCTCATCCTCACAAGTTCCAAAACTAGGAGGGTTTTCTTATGTTTCATTTGTTCAACCTGCCACTCTGCAACAATGAACTTATTTCGAAGTCTATGCATTGACTTACGCACAATCACAAAGGTCCTATTCTGTGGTTTTTGGTTGCATGCAATTTTTGGTGCTCCAGGAGAATTTTTGCTATTTCCTGGAGAAACTTACACTTTTCTCCAGTAGCCATGGAATTCCAATCTGCCAATACCACCAGAGCTTCAAAGCCTCCTCTGTAACTCGAGTTGGTCCGATAATTGGTTCTTCCTCCTGTTTTCCATCAGTGGTTGTACCAGATTTGATTTTGCAGAGTGGTCACTGCCACCTAGGATTTTTCCATAAGTTTCAATTGACATTTCTGACACTAGTGTATCCTCCAACTCATCTTCTAGGAACAAATCCAAAGCTGAAACAAAGTTGGCAGTCATTCTTGTAAATAAACCTTTTGTGAGGTAGGGATACATTGGTAATAGAGGTTCATACCATGAATGGTTAAGGCCTTGTTTTTATTATAGTTAGTATTCCTCCACCTTCCTTTTCTTTCCCAAGCCTCTCCTTAGAGTACCATGGGAATTTATGTTGAGGTTGTCATTTGACCCCTGTCTCTGATCTGTTTCACTTACGCCAATTACATGTATGTTCTCGCCATTCACGACCTCCATAATAATGTCTTGTTTAGTGTCTCTTATGAGGCCATTGCAATTCTATATTGCACAGTTAATGCTAGTTTGCATTGGTACTATTTTAGACATTTGCCTATTGTTCCGGTGTTGTTCTGTTGTTCTGTAGTTCCCATTACTGAGCTTACCATTGCTGGTTCCTTTTAGGAGTATATCTGATATTATAATGAAGTACCATGTGAATTCATCATTACTCCGTTATTGGGTAAATCAAATTTACTGATACTAGGCTTTTAGGGTGCTTTGCGCCCATCTCCTATATAATTGAGAACATTTTTTCTTTGTATAAATAGTAAAATAGTTTAAGGCAACTTTTTGAAAATTTTATCATCCATAAACCATACCCTGGGGTCCCATGAGGTCTAACAAAAAAATTTTGCCCACCTAATTCAGCCATTAGACATTTATTGGATACAAACAAACAAACAGACAGACAAGCAAAGTATATACATAGGTATAGCATGTTTGTTCTCCGTATCCAAGTCAAGCTAAAGTCATGCTATAATGATTATCTGAATTAAATTATCATTATGATTATTCCCCAAGTGTGACGCCCAGTGAAATATAAAATGATAATTCATGTAAAGCATTATAATTTTTAATCTTGCACAATCCACTGAAGAATAACTACAAATTGAACAATTAGCATTGTTCAAGTATTAAAACAAATAAATAAAAGTATTAAAACAAAATTGAAATAAAATGGCAGGCTTTATTGAAACCAGCCATCTTTCCACATTTAACTTGGTTTGATATCTTATCAAGCCCTGTCACAATTGAATGGCAGACCTATAGAATCCTCAATAGTTTGAACCACCATCAGTATCCCAGGATTCTCGAAGTATGCTACTGAAGTATTACTGCTTGAATCTGATGTGCCTGGAAACCATGACTCTTCATTGCAATTGTAAAATATGAATTGCTTTGCAAAGAAAAGTTTTTAAATAACCTTAAAGTAAAATGTGTCTTCATTAAATAAAACTTTTTAAATTTGTTAAATTTAATTAAATGAGACAGAGAATGTTTTACAATAATGATATAAAACATACAGTGGTTACATATTAATTAAGATGAAAATTTAGGCTGGGATCAAATTTTATGAACAGCGTGGTGGTACGGTTGAACTGCCTAGACGTGGTTCAACCACTTCTCTTAAGCTTGAATGGGCCCACAACAGAAATGGTTGAACTGGGTCTGGTAATATTGTTTTAATTCTTTATTAATTCTTACATAAAAAATTTATCTTTCTATCTTTAATATTTCTGCACTACGGCTGGTCGAAAAGACCTTGGAAGTAAAAAGCAAAGAAAAAAGAAAGGAAATGGATGATGTTCCAATGATCCTCAGTCCTCAGATGAAGATGGAATTATGAATCATCATAGTTCTCTTTGAAATAAAGTGCAGTTAATAGCAACTATAAAATTTCATTCCACATTCTTGCAATGTCATAAACAAGATTATTACCAAGGCTAACATTCGTGTTAAGACAGAGCATTTTGTCCTCTTGAAGTTAAAAAGTTTTTTAGTATTTGATATTCCATTGGAGAGAATTAAAAGCATTAATATATACATGAATGTAAGTATTCTGGTTTCCTATTGGTGTCAGTGAATTATCTGTATATTCAGTATTCTCCTTTAACACTTTTTGTTAGGCCAAATCAAAATTTCTTCCAAGTAGCATAACAAATTTCATATTTTTTTGCCCCTTTTCATTACTTGGTTACTGAGAATTAAAAAATGTAGCCCCTTTGAAAATCCAGTGAACTGGTTAATTTATTTCTTTAAGTTCATTTATTTTCATTATGCGTATTTATTTTTAATGGATTTATGTATTTTCATTGGATTTATTTATCTTGGTGGGTTTCTTTATTTTCATTGGTTTTTTATTTAATTTCATTGTGTTTTTAAATTTTTTTTTGGTTTATTTATTTTCATTTGGTTTATTCATTTTCATTGGGTTTATCTATTTTTGTTGGGTTTAATAATTTTCTTTGGTTTGATTTATTTTGATAAGGCTTACTTATTTTAATTAGGTTTTCTTTTATTTTCATTAGGTTTATTTATTTATTTAGATTTGATTATTTTAATAAGGTTTATTTATTTTCATTGAGTTTATTTTTTTGTTGGACTAAGAAATATCCTGCCTCCAGCTCTTTATTTATAAGAAGCTTTAGCTTCAGAGTAGATTGTCTCTTATAAGTAAACTCATTAAGAAGTTGAAAAAGTAACATAAGTTTTTAAAA